TTTTATGATTAACTAAAATTACAGAAGTAGGTTCTACTAATTTTGAAACTTTACAAACTATATCAACAATTGCACTTAAATCTGAGGTAAACACGATTTTAGTTTCTTATCAACAGAGCTGCAACTATTATTATTTAACGATTTTTTGTTTTTATATAGTCACATGAAATACCTTCCTTGGAATGTAGTCATATATGTACCCAACAACTTACAAGTGAATTTGAACCTAAGTTTGGTGGATTTAGGTCCCCATTTAGTATGCAATCACCAAAATTTCCACAGCCAGTAAATTTCAATTTTTTATTCCATATGTATACACGTCAACCAAATGAAGAGCTTGCTCAACATTGCCTACATATGTGTGTGCATACCTTAAAAAAAATGTGTTATGGTGGTATTCATGATCACATAGGACAGGTAAGATTTGTAATTTTCGGATAAATGTTTACGATGACCGCACAGGAATAGCAATGATACTTGAATTTACACAGATTTATTGTAATATTTTTGTACACTTTTTATTACACAAATTAATATTTGTGTAAAAATTGTGTACAAATTGATGTTTATTTTTAATTAGGGTTTTTCGAGATATGCTACTGATGGTGAGTGGCATGTTCCACATTTTGAGAAGATGTTATATGATCAAGGACAGTTAATAAAATCTTATGCAGATGCATATCTTGTAACCAAAGATAAGTTTTTTGCTGAAATTGTTGATGATATCGCTACGTATGTAATACGGGATCTTCGACACAAGGTATCACCTTCATTCAACTTAAAAGATGACACATGATATATATTTATTTTTAATGATTTATACTTTAGGAAGGTGGATTTTATAGTGCTGAAGATGCAGACTCTTATCCTACAACTGATGCACATGCAAAAGTAGAGGGTGCTTTTTATGTATGGACTGCTATGGAAATTGAGTCACTTTTAAATAAAGAAATTTCTGATGAAAGTCATACTAAACTTTCAGATATTTTTTGTCATCATTTTAACGTGGAGGATTCAGGAAATGTAACATCAAATCAAGTATGTTACATATATTGTCAAAATAATATTTTCTTATTTAAAGTATGTAATTGCATCAATGAGTTGTATATTTAATTTAGTTGAATCTGAAAGAAAATTAAGTATATTATAATTATATGTAAGTGCACATTTAATAAATTTCTATATATATCAGGGTGCACATGGTGAATTAAGAGGAAAAAATGTATTAATAATGTACAATGCAATTGAAGAAACTGCTAAACATTTTAATCTTACTGTTGAAGAAATAAGAATGCACTTGAAAGAAGCATGTTCAATTTTATATAAAGCTAGATCTGCAAGGCCGCGACCTCATTTAGATGATAAAATTATTACAGCATGGAACGGTAAAAAATTATGAACAGATTATTTTTTATATGATGTGTATGAATATATAAGATTTGTATTGTTAAGTTAATAAATGATTTGAATTTAGGTCTTATGATAAGTGGTTTAGCGTTTGGAGGAGCGGCGGTGGATAATAAACAATATATCGAGTATGCGGCAGATGCCGCAAAATTTATTAAGCGATACCTTTTTAGTGAAACTAAAAATATGTTATTTCATAGTTGTTATCGCGGTGAAAATGACATAATTACACAAGTGTGAGTCTATAAATATTACGATTATTAAATTTTGTAGTATAATACATATATTAATATCATATTTTTAGGAGTACACCCATACCTGGTTTCTTAGATGATTATGCGTTCGTTATAAAGGGATTGTTGGATTTATATGAAGCTACTTTAAACGAGGAATGGCTAGAATTTGCTGAAAAGTTGCAAGATCTTCAAAATGAATACTTTTGGGACGAAAAGAATGGTGGATATTTTTCAACAACGTCGGACGACCCTAATATAATTCTGAGACTTAAAGAAGGTACGTTTAAGTATCTTTAAAATAATCTTGGTTTGATGATAAAAATTCTCATGGTTTGGTATCGTGCATGTGATAGTTATAGTTATGTTAAGCTGCAAAATCAAAGAAACCAACATTTTGCAGTAAAGTTGAGTGTATCAAAATATTTATAGCAGGGTCTGCTCAGTGTTTCATTAGTTTAGTTTTATTAGTTCAGCCGTCGAGTTCATCAGACTGTGGTAGTTGCGCCCACAATTTTGATATTAGGCCATAACATTAATGAAAGAGGAAGATTGAATATGTATTTTAAGATTTATAATCTTATGTATAGCTTATGACGGAGCAGAACCATCCGGCAACTCAATTGCTGCCGAAAATTTACTAAGGTTGGCAGATTATTTAACTCGTGGCGAATTCAAGGATAAAGCTGTACGTCTTTTCGGAGCATATAGGCACTTGCTAATGGAAAGACCTATTGCAATTCCACAGTTAGTATCGGCACTTGTTCGTTATCACGATGATGCAACGCAGGTACGCGTAAGCAGAGATACTTAGTATTCTTAGAAATTTAATAAACCTTTGAAACGATTAAATTTCGTATTTTAGATTTATGTAGCTGGAAAACGGGATGCCAAGGATACCAATGATTTACTTCGTGTTATATATAAACGTTTGATACCCGGCAGGACTCTTGTATTAATTGATCCCGACCAACCGAGTAGTAGGTTACTTCGTGAAAACGAGTATTTGAATAATATGAAGTCTTCGGATAGTCAAGCAACGGCTTATGTGTGCAAACATCGCACGTGTTCTTTACCTGTTACAAACCCTGAACAACTAGCAACGTTGCTAGATAAACAGCGATAAAAAAAAAACAAATTTTTATCGACTGATAATAAAATTTCATATGGAAAAAGTACTATCTTATTTTTTATTTAATATAGATAGTTACATGTATAATGAAATTTAACGAATCTCGTCAATATAAGCACTGTATATTATTCCGCAATAATGTTAATGAAATTTATTCTTATTATCGAAGATAATAATAATTGAATATAGTTGTAAATGTTTTTCGTTTTAATAAAGTAAACGTGTACAAATACGTAATGTTATTTCAAAATTTTACACCTAACGATGTGATGTAACCGTGTAAAATATGATATTACGTTTCTAAATCTACATCCAATATAATCGCTTTACAAATGAAGCACATTGGGTTTTGATCGTCGTCAGACTTTTAGGAACGATACATAATGCGGTGCCTACCGCAAAATCTTGCGTTGAATTCCAACCGAAAATAGACGCGGTATATAAACCACTAGAGGAAGAGAGAGAGAGAGATTGGGGATGTTTAGAGAAGAAAGCGGGAAGGAAGTCGAAATGAGAAGCTCCAGAAGTTTAGTTCCAAGAAATTGACATAAATGTTCACCGTTTCTTCCTTTTTCTTATCTATCTATACATACGCACGTACACGCAGGCATACGTATGCACGAACCACGGTTACTATTAAATATAACGGTAAAATTATAATGTGGACGGAAATTGAAATTTACACGTATGTAGCTTACATGTTAAAGCAGTTTCAGATAATCGTGTGTTGGCAATCAACGAGTGTCCACTTCGAAGTGGTTTACACGTATATAACTTTACATGTTAAAGCAGTTTCAGATAATCGTGTGTTGGCAATCAACGAGTGTCCACTTCGAAGTGTAAAATAATGCAATTGGCAATAAACAATATTAATTAGTTGGTCGTTAACGATTTATCAATTGAAAACAAGTTTTAACATGTAACATTACGAAAGTAAAGCTCGTCGTCTTGGAAGAACGAAAAAAAAAGAGAGCATGTGTTGCACTTTATCGGCAATGAAAACGAAAGCGACAAGATCTCGAGAGGAAATATAGGGCCAGTTCCCTGTCTGCTTACTCGTATCTTTGGCTGCTTCTGATTATCTCTTCCCTTCTTCTGCGGTTCGAGTACATTATCTACGACGGAGAGGTCAACGAGTGAAGGAGGGAAACCCAAAAGTAGAGAAAGAGGGTAGAGGAGTAGAGGAGGATCTGCTGATCTTCTCGAGGGAGGATGCAGAAGGTCGCGAAGCGGATGAGCGAGGGGTACCTAGACGGCAGTGTTGCGCATGCGTTCGTTTCGTCGACAAGGATGTTCGACGTTTTTTTCAGTCACCGGTCGACGCTGCGCCGGGCATCGTCGACGTGCACGTTCGCGAATAGCTTGATATGGATCGCGGTAATTTCCCTTTAGGTAGGCTAATTCGTGGTTGTTAGTTGCGTGCGAGCAGTTTACAAGATAGCAACAAAGGGAGATACGTTCCCAGCGGAGGGTGCCTCTCGACTGGATCGTTTTTTAACGGGGTGCCACGCGACATACCACGCGCCACTCACGCGCTTCGCTTTTCCATCTTGCTGCCAAAAGTGTATTTCTTTTTTTTTTCTCTCTCTTCTTCTTCGGGAAGGTGTATCTACTGTCGCTTCCTGTTACTCCTCGGCAATTCCTCCCAATTGATATCATCGCAACATGAACGTTCCCGCATCGATACAGTTATCCCGTGTGTCGATTTGACCGCGAGTGATCTTGTTTGGTAGCACAGGTGAGCTGATTGAACCGAGCGTAGCCAGAAAGCATAGAAGGTGAGAACTGCAGGTGAGAGAGACCGAGCAAGCGCATCGCGAAGCACAGGGTTTACGCACCTGGATTTTACTGCTGTTGCTACTTCAACATAAAATGCGGCCAGTGGATGTGCGGAAGCTTCTTCGATCCCAAGATTTCTCTGCTCAAAAGTACGGTGCATGTTTCTACCGGTAGAGCTGTCCGAACGTAAAACGTGTTGTCTATCGCTCGTGGTATCGGACCAATAGAATATTACAGATTCTCGATGTCGTTCTTACCTCTCCACCTGGTCACGTCGTCGTTTAGAGCAGCAACGACGTCAACCTTCTTCTCTCAGCTAGTTACCAAATATCTTCCCCAGGATAAATCTTCCAGCAGCCCTATCTGGAAGTTTTTTGCACAGACCATCAACGACGAGTCAGGCTGCCGCTGAGCGTATCGCTGCTTCATCATCCTCGCCTCTACTCGACCAGATCTAAGCCGGGAAGCATGTCGTTGCATTATCCTCAAGGATATCGGTATCGCCCGGCTGCTAAGGCTGCCGGGGCAGGAAACGGTGAGCAAGGTTCCGACAGTGACGTTGCTGAACTCAGTGATCTCGAGGATGACGAGGATGAAGATGGGGGCGACAAGTTGACTAATAGACGTGTTATTCAACAAGACGAAGAGGAGGAGGAGGAGGAGGAGGAGGAGGAGGAGGAAGAGGAGGAGGAGGAGGAGGATGACGATGACGAAGAGGACGACGAGGACGATAACGAAGATGACGACGGAGCGGACGACGTTGATGGCGACGATCTACCCTATCCTGGTTTCGTGCCGGTTGCTTTGCGATACCTCGACCAGAATACACGACCGCGCAACTGGTGTCTGGCGCTCATCACTAATCCATATCCTTTTGGATCGCAACGAACCTGTTTTCTGACGTTTAGAGATACGGTGATATCGTTCTTTTTATTCTGTTTTCACTGTGGATCACCCTTTTCACGATTATTCCAGCTCGTGAGATGAAATAAGTAAGTTTCGTTGCTTGTTTTGTGTAACTAGCGTGAACATGTCGAACGTAGTTTCCGATTAAATTACGGAATTTATTTTCTTCGCCAGTAAGAACGTAAAATAGAATGTGTGTGTGTGATACCAGTCAATTCTTCTTCATTCAATTGGTAAATTTCTTTTTTCATCCATCTCGCTCGTAAATCATTCTTCGTTGTGGATTTCGAGTATATGAAAGGAATCCGTGAAATTTATCGCTCACAATTTACACGCGATATCTAAAATTGACTCTTCTTTACTTGGAATTTTTACAGACATTTCCTTCTTCTTTTTCTTTCTCGTTCGATTCTCTGATTTTTCTTTTATCCAGTTTCCTTGAATATTTTTTAAGGACCTTTGTTATCAACGTTCGAACAGAATCGTATCGTTGATAAAGTCAAATTGTAGTATTGAAAATTAATAGCTATTGAGAAATGGTTCGATATTTTCCAGACTTTTAATTTCACGTCTTTCGTCGTTTCAGCCTTCTCTTCACTCTCTCCGTACACTTTCAAACATCTTTTCTGCACACGAGCATGGTAATAACGAAATAAGCAACAAACGCGAGTTAGTAGTTATTGAAAAATGAAAAAAACGCATGGCGTTTCGTGTGCTTTCGAACGCATGAAATAGTTCGAAACAGACGACTCTTACGTCAATTTTATCCGAGCCACGTTACGATCATGCTATTAGGTCATCCCGTAAGTTCGTGGCGAAAGCGAAAAATATTCGAATGAAAATCCAAGGAAATTCCACAGCGACGACATAATGATCTCGTCGAAGAAAAGAAAAAAATTGCAGAACGAGAAGGCGCTTACGTTTTCTTCTTCGTCAAATTCAAAGATTCCTTGGAAATATCGATCGAAATTCTAAAATTCGACACGAACTTACGGCATGACCTAATGCACACTTATCTTGTCGCGAAATCAAATTAAACCGAATGCAACGTCGATGATCAATTCAGAACACACATCTACCAAAACTGTCCTATATATTCCTCATTTTAACGAATTCTATGAATTCACATATCTACATATTCCATACATACACGTATATGAGTAAAATTTGGCTGATAGAAACGATCAGATAAGCGTCTCTTTATACACAATTTCAGAGTAACAACGTAAACTTGAATCTAGAAACATTTCAGCAGAAAAATCGAAATAATTTTAACAGTGACCCAAGATCTACTTAACCCCTTGACGTATGATTACTTTTCCTGTCTATGCATCTAAGCGTCAATTATTTACTATTTCAGTACTACATTAAACAACAAAAGCTAACGTACTGTAGATTAATTAAATTTGCCAATCTTCAGTTTCATAAATGAAATCAAAAATTACAATTAAAATTAATTTTTCCTATCGATACAACTGTTTTTATCAGATATTGACCAAAATCTGTGGTACGAGTCTGACGGGTTGTCATACGGCAAGGGGTTAAACTTCATCAATCACTGCGAAGCTACAAATGCATCGGACTAAAAATGACAGTGTGCAGGTACGTTTCACACATGTCTGATACAGAGAAAGAGGTGTGTAGAGGAGAAAACACGAAGGTATATTAAAATGGGGGGTAACCTGTATGTAGTTTCGAAGTCTCGGTTCGGGATACATATTATGGTGATAGCAGGTAGAGTGCGCGAGGTCGGTCTGGAGGCGTTTTAAATAGGTCATTGATTGACCTATCCCCAGGCGAATCTCAGTATGCTTGCACGGATACCGACTACCACGTAGCTGACACGTCTACCGTATTTCTGCCTCCTTCTTCTTCTCCGCGTTATACCATTCTGCGTGTATACATATGTACATATATATATATATATGTATGTACGTGTCTGTTTGTGCGCAAAATTGCGGGGTGTGCAAGACGCGTGTGGTCGGCGGGCAAAGTTTAGTCAGCCTAGCATCGGAGCAACAAGCGTCGCCAGAAAGATTCCCATTGTGAACACGGACAATGGTCGGCTGGAACTACTGCGAATGCGGGCCAAGCATTTCGCAATTCTCTGCCGCTTTTATCCCTCTCTCGTTTGCCCGTAGAAATTGAACAAACGTTCCCTTGTACCCTATACCTTTCCCTTCGACGAACACTTATCTACCGCCTGGCAAGGATTTCTTCTACCGCTCGCTCGCTACCACCAACGTCGATGGTCACTTTCTTCCCCTTTTTTTACAGGAAGTGCAGTTATTTTCTTGAACCTTGTTGCAGAGAAAAATATCATTCTGTACGTTCTTTTCTTCCTCTTCTTTTGTTCGGCTAAATTTCGTTTCTTCGTTCTTGACGATTTTTTATTTTACACACTGGAAGGAGTAACCCATTGGCAAGTTTTGAAAAAAAAGTGAATTTTTCAGAATGTTTACTTCTATTTGTATCGATACGAGAGAGATTTTTTAATCAACTTTTGAGTTACATAAAAATACCTCTTTTGGAAAGTTGCGTAAGTTGCACTCCATCTAATCCAAGTGGAATAGTTAAAATTCTTGATCTTGTACTTGATTCTGTAAAAAATGACTACGGATGAAATAATTAAAATTGTTTTAAATGTGTTAAACTTAATTTCGATAATTAACCGTTCAATGATAATAACTTTATTTCAAATAGTGAAAATTAAACCTGTCAGAAGGAATATCATTCTTATAAATATTAAGATAAAGCTTGTATTTAGTATTTCAATAATAATTCGAAGTAATTGAAATTACATTATCGACTCCACAGACAGGTGACCCGACTGGTCCTTCTACCGTTAAACTAAGTAACGCTTCGGTGTATCTTAATGGGAATTATTTCAAAATTTACCCAACACTGCAAGCCGAAATTAGTTTGCACTTGACTGGTCCTTCTAGTGTCGACAAAAAGTAGGACAAAACAAGAGTCACGTGTAAAACAACGATTACGTTCTGAGTGAATTCACAAATTCTACTCTATCGAGTCGTTCGGCAAATGAAGAGAAGAATGCTCGGTTTTACTCCTTTTCCCCCAAATTATTGATTTCAGATAACAGAATAGAAACACGCGAGTCTGTCATTTCCGCTATTTCTGTCATTAGAGGGGACCCCGGTTAAATTAGAATTTCACGCGGACGTCGTCTTCGTAGTTCGAGCCTGCAGGGTCCTCAGGAACGTTGCGCGATGTCTGCTTAATCGTCGTGTTGCTCTACTCCATTGTCCCGTGAATGATCGAGACTCGGCCGAGTATCGCGAGCATTCTCGCGACTCCCGTTCGTCGACGGTTTCTCTACTTTTCCCGTTGTTAACGTTTTCGGAGGCTCCGCGGCATTTCTGCACGGAATTGTCCGGTATTGATCGCAGGAATCGACGTTGCAGGGTGGGCAGGAGTAATCTGAAAGATGGAGAAAGGAAATCGAACGAGTGAAACGGTGTCGATTGGGTAATTTCGCAGATACCGGTGATGGAGCCGGAAGTGATAGCGAACGAAATACCTATCTAGGGTTCGGTGTCGCGACAACACTTCCTTTCCTTCGTTTCGTCGATATTGTCCGATAGAAAGGCCCGACGACCTGCTTTCCCACCTTCTTTCCCGCGCAGAGTTCAACTCCATTACAAATGGGTGAAGAATAATCGGATGACCGAGGTGTCAACGAGGCAATCTTCGACAACCTCGAACGCCGCCGGAAGTGGCAGTCGATCGAAACAATTTGCCCTGCCGCTTCGCCCGGTTGATTGTCTATTAAGCGTTCCGTAAATGAGATTCGAAGCATCGATGAGAAACAGGCTGACAGAGATTACCGATGGATCGTTAGATAGGCGGAAGTAATCGATCACACGTGTTCGAGTAGCGCAACGTTTTCGTCGCTCGGCTATGTATTTCTTTTCGGTCGCTTTTGTTGAACCATTGCAGGCCTCTGTTTGCGCCGCGATATTCTCCCGTTGAGTCCGTTCGTTTAAACGAAGACGAGAACGGTTGGTTTTCTTCGGTTTAACAAATTCTTCGTCTGAAATAACAGATATCGAAACACCTGAGTCTATCGTTTCCGGTATTTCTGTCGATGGTCACTAATCTAAGTTAATCTAACCCATGAACGAAGAGTTTACAGCTTCCACTCGTTGTCCTTTGGTTGAGAAATTCGGACGTTGTTGGAGGAGAAGGTCTAAATACGGGCTGGTTCAAGTATTGAATATGTTAAGTGGTTGACCCTATTGAAAATAGGACGAAGCTACGAGTTATGAACAAAACAAGTGTCGCGGAGGAGATTATTTTACAAAACGTGTCGTTTCTCTTATGTTGTAAATAGCATTTAAGTTTAAGTTTACATTTTGATACGTAGGCAAACCTAATATTTTCGTTTCGATTATTTTACGAGTGGCCCATATTTAGAACACCTTTCTAAAAATGAAGATTTTCCCTTTTAGTTTGAACGTATAATTTGCAACTTTTGTTCAGCTTATTTTGATTTCCTATCGTACAGGAAGCATGTTATCGATATATATTCAAGTGTTGTATCTTAAAACTCATCCACAGGTTTGACAGTAAATCCTGAAATAAAAGTGGTAGCTCATAGTTAGACCTTCTCCTCTACCAGTACGGGGAGCATCGAAGCTTTTCTCTAATTGTATGTCGACGAAAAGTCAATTTTACTTAGGCGGAATGCTATTTGTTTATGTTAGTTAGTTTATTAATAATTCCAGCCTCAAGTCCAAGGAATGGATTTGGTTTGCAATAAAAACTATTCTCACTCGTTCTTCCATTCTATTCGCACACCCTTTTATTTCACCTAATTTCCTTCGTTTTATCTTCTACCATCCTCAACCATTTCACTACCTCCTGTTTTTCCTTTGCACTTTTCCCTAACACTTTTTCCAGCGTGCAATATTCTCCTTCCATTTCGAAACGGTCTTCC